GGGATTCAAATCACAAACCGAATCCCCATATTATCTAACCTACATTACCCCACCTAAAAAGGGTCTAAATCTCTCTTTCCCGAAGGCCCTAATCCTAATGATATCTGATCCTCGGGTCACGACCTTGAATTAGGAAACGATTCAAAACAGGGTGTTACAACTCCCCCAAATTAAATTAGATTTTGTCCTCAAAATCACTCCTTACCACCCTCCTGGGAACCAACGTTCCAAACAAAACCTCCTAACGTTGAGAAAATCATTGATCCCTTAACCGTCGAACCAATATGTTACTACTATAATTCCGAAGCTCCATAACTTGAATGACCTCCACATAGGTAGAACCATTCCGAAAACAGCATCACAAGGGCCTCTTCCTACCATCTGAACTGAAAACATCCTTCTGACCCTGAACCCTCCAAATGATACCCTTGACATACAGATCCATTATCCATAACTTGCTAAAGTAAAAATCTTGCATATATGCACTAACGACTCCCAACCCGAGCCAGTGCATAACTCATAACCTGAGATCCAAGGATTTACCCTTGCATTCACCCGAAATCTTTTGATTCACGACAACCTTTCACTAAACTAGGATATAAAAATCTCCAATCCATCGCTAAGACTGCCAGTCTCGTGCTTGGTCTAGCCACCAAGTTCTTGAGAGTCCAACTGATAAGGCTACCCTAGCCTAGGCATCACTCTTATGTCACCTAGTGACCACGTAGTCATCCTACTCTAATCATGATCCTTTACCTTGACCTAAACAGTCCATATCGAGTCTCACCTGCGTTGTCATAACCATATGGGCCTTGCCCACGGGTCTCATCCTGTCTATTCCAATGAACGGGCCATTCCTACGGGTCTCACCCAATCGAGAGCTACTCAGGCCTAACCTTTCCTCGGACCCCAATGGTTCTCCTCCCAAAACAGGGAGATATTCTCTGACAATACTGTTCGCTTTGCCCTAGGCATTAGATGATCCTCCTTCATACCATGACCACCCCAATAATGGTCTACCTAAATCTAGAAAATACTACGATCCCATCGCTGTCTTACAACATTTCCACAACTGTCTATTATCCTGGTGAATGCTATGGCTACCTCGTAGTATTACAACACTTCCCTTGATGCCATGGCCCCACCCATGGTCTTACTATCCCTCTACTATACCGACTACAATCATCATGAGTTGATCCCGCATCCGATTATTCCCTAATCAGGTGTTCAAGTCATGCTTCGAACCCCAAATCCTTTATTAGACAAGAACAGGTAGAGAGACTCTAACACCACCCTCGACTTGGGTCCATCCACATACCCGCCATGCATCACTATTGATGTGAAACGAAACATGAATATCCTTTCTTGTGCAATTCCCTTAGACCAACAATTCTCCCCAACTTGGGTTTAACTGCACCCTTCCAATCCTCAAGATTTGATGGATTTCCAATCCATCTTTCAGCCTTATGATTCAAACTATCAACACCTAAGATTACAAATGCCAGCGTTCCATTACTAGCCAATCTTGATGATTGCATAAAGTCTTGAAATCCAGATGAATACTCCCCGAAATCTCAACAAGCCTAATATCCCATCACTCCCCCATGACACAACACTAAATCCTTAAGTCCTTTAAATCGGGGAAAAAGACTATAACCCTTGATCGGAACTGGTGCATCTTCACTCCAACTTCCTATTCTCAGAAGGATCCCTGCATAGTAACCATCTTCAACCTTTCCGATTATGAAATTCCCCTGGCACTTCTAATGTCCAAACAAACCCATGCGACTATCACCTTCATCTTCTTACTATCTCTCCTTTCCTAGCAACAATAATGATTGGACACAAAGGTCCTTCCATTGATGACTGACATTCCTACATGAATACATGGTAATACGTCTGAACTCTACCTTCATTGTTGAACTAATCCTGATAATTCGTCTATAGATCTTCCAAGCGATACCCCTGATTTGACCCTATCAAAGAATTGGAACAACAGCTGAACAAATTGGATCCCGCTCAGTAATATACGACCCATTAATAAATCTTGGCATGTAAAAATGGCATACAACAATTCTCGATAATACAACCCTGACAATAACAGAGAACTAAACCAAAGATGATGCTTACACATACTTACCCAAGATTCCAAAGCAACTATAAATATTGATAATAAGGCATGGAAGAATATAAAAGATAACATACTCACGACAACAACATCTGAGGAAGAATATAAAAGATAACATACTCACGACAACAACATCTGATGAAACTCTGGCCTCCCCCGACTAACAATGCAATGCTTGGCTCCTCGTTGCAGGGGTTCCTGCCCTATCCTCACGACCATCAGTGATCCTCAAAGTAACTAGAGCAGGTACACTCATAACTGCACCCCTACAACATCGGACAATCGGTCTTCTTGTGGCCCACCTGGTTGCAGTGAAAACACATCAGAACCGACCCACGGAGCAATCCCTACTAAAATGATCCATCTGACCATAACTGAAACATTCTCGGCCTGTGTCCTGACATCCTCCCTCATGGGTCCTCCCACACTTGGCAAAATGACCCCGGCCCTGATGGCCTCCCAAACGTGAATCTTGAGTCTTGGGGCTCTTCACCAAGCCCACTGTAATTTGAGTCTGCTGTAACTTCCTCTTCCTGAGGTGCTCCATATCAATCTAAAGCTCATGGGCTCTAGCAATCATATCATTCAACATCTTGCACCCTGACAAACTCACAAACTCCTTGATGTCATCCCTCAGCATGTCATGATACCTTACCGTCTTCATCTCCTCACCTGATGCATACTGCGGAACAAATAAAGCCCTCTCTCGGAACTTGGCAGTGATCTCTGCCACAATCTCAGTAGTCTGTCGAAGGTCCTGAAACTCCCTCGCCAACTATTGCACTTAAATAGTGTTGGATTAATGTCTAAGTCCATAACTATAATTGGAAAGACTTGACCCGACCCAACATGGTCCATTTGGGTTGCATGGCATGATGCATTTGGATAGACTATAATGAGAGAAATAACACTTAAGGTTGGTTAATATATTATAAGTTCTAATATATTAATAAGGTTATTTAATTAGTATTGATCAAGAATTAATTAAGTGATCAAAAGGAGACTAATTAAATATATGGGTTGATTGTGTTAATCATTCATTCTTATATATGTGGGCTTGTGATCCAAGATTCCTTATGTTGGACTAAGTCCATGGGGTGACCCATGGATACTCCATGGAGGTTAAAATCCATGGAGCATAAGGAATGGGTAAAGTTATGAGTTACATGGTGTAACCCTAATAGCCACCATATAAAAGAATCCCATGGCTTAAGAAATCGTGCACTAGTGTGTGAATATGAGGGCTAGACGATTTCAAGGAGTGTTCCATTTCTCTCAAGTCATTCCATGTGCACTTGATGTTGTGTCAACCATTTGAGGTGTCACACTTGGGGAACTAGGCACTCAAGCTTCATGAAGACAAGCTACATCAAACAAAGGTATGTATTCTATTCGTTTGATTATCCAAGTATAAAGTATTGTATGCTAGATAGGGTAATACCTTGGAAAGTTCATATTTGCATGTATAATAGAGAAAACATAGATCCAAGGTATTTAGGGTTGCATGTACACTTAGGAATGTTAGAATGCTCAAAACCCAATAAATAGCTGGTGCAAACTTGGCCCTGAACTGGGTCACAAAATCATCCCAAGTCATCGTCTCCAGGGCTTCGCCTACTAAAGCAAACTCTACCTCCTCCCACCAATCCCGGGCTCTGTTTTTCAGAAGACATGAAGCAAATCTGACCTTCAACCCCTCAGGATAGAAACTCATCCAGAAAGTGTTCACCATGTCTGCTAACCATCTCCTACTGGAAATGGGGTCCTTCTCCCCAAAGAACGCGGGAGCTCCACAAGCATGAAACTCATGAAAGGAAAGGGTGTGAGCTCCTACAATAGCCATAATCTTAGTATGGAACGCGCCCAGATGCTCATCCAAAATCTCCAAAATCCCCTCCTTGACCATACCAAAGATCTCAGAAGTCTGCTCCAAAATACCGTGAGTGATCTTCGACGAGATAAACTCCCGCATCCACTCATCAATCTGCTCAGTACCTGCACCTGAGCCTGAACCAACACCTGAACCTCCTTCCTGAGTGCTCATCACCATTCTGAAAAGAAACAATGAAAATGATCAGAACATAACCATGAATCCTTATCCAACAGGCTTCCTAGACTCTTCGTGACTCTCCTCGATTCAAGTATGGATCCTGTGCTTTCTATATTACAGGGCCAATACTACCTTCCACACCTATCCTTACTTTCCTCAAGAATCGTCTCAGATCCTCTAAGTCACTGTCTGATACTCTAAATACTTGCTAAATAGCACAACTAACCCCACTAAAGCACTTGCTAAGCTTCCTAGGATTCCAACATTACCCTACCATCAGCTGTTGAAGAACTCCCACTAACACCAGTTAACTGTCTCATAAATATAACCACATATAACAGAGCTTAGGATAATCCTTCAAGTAACAGACTCAACCCTACAACGGTTAGACTCAAACAAGAGTTGTGTAATAGATTCTAATTGTTAGAATAAAGAAGAGTTGATCGAAAGATTCTTGACACAAAAATAAATCAAACAATGAATGCAATGATCAAACTAGTGTCGAATGATTAATCATAATTGTCATAGAAGAGCTCAATGAAGAACTTCTACTGTAAAGGCAAGTAGGACAAAATACAATCGATAACCATAATATGGTGCATGCATGCACAATATATAGTCTAACCCTACAAACATTAAAGACTGGGTGGACAAGCCCAACCTGTTACAAATGGACTATTATAGTACATAACATTCTTGACACAACACAAAATATCCGCCAAAATGTAGTTCAAACATGAAGTAAAGATGCTTATCCGAAAGAGAGAAGAAACATCGTTGAGAATTTGAACCATCTCTGGAACTCTGTTGAAAAACCAAACTCTAATCATCTTTATAAATATTTCCGAGCTTCACCTTGTAGACATCGAACAAAGCTTCCTTAGGTTTGACAATTGGTTTCTTTCGGAGCACTGATGCAATCTCTACATCTATTTTTCCGACTGCATGGATGTACGAGACCAACATTGTATTGAGATCTAGCACAATAGGTTCGTATTTCTGTTCATCCTTAAGCAGGATATGAAGCAGAGATATCCATTCATAAGGATTGAGGCACGGTAGTTCTGCGAGAGTAAATTCAAACACCGAACTCGCAGCACCTCGAGCAGTCTTAAACCGAGCATTAAGGAAGCTTTCGGTTTCAATTAACCCAACAACCTTTACTGTTGTAATCTTATTTGAATTCCAAGTATGATATTGTGGCTTGCCATGCTTCAGATAAAAGGAGATAAGCATCAAATTAACATCGTTATCAGATTCAAGGCCATTCACAACTCTATCAAAACTGCGAAACAAGAACACTTTCAGAGTCATGGGAAATTCAAGTCGCGAATCCAAAGTGTTTTCTAATTCAAATGAAGTAACTAGCTCCAACCAGTAAACACTTAGATTATCGATGGCTTAGTTTAAAATACGCTCCGTAGACCAGGCAGGAAGAAGAAGCTTTTAAGTTTCCAAAATGACTAAGGCTTCAGAGGCTTTCCTTTCTTTTTCTTCGGTTCCTGGACAATTCAATGATTTTCGTCAATTTTTGCGCGCGAGCCTTGCGTCTTAACATTTCATTTTTATTTTCTTTTTCCTCATAACTATCATCAACCAATTTTTTTTTCCTCTTGATGTTGAAGCTACATTATCCTTCAAATCAATTGACTTGGGTGGTTTTTGTTCATGCTCATCACCACCATCAATTGCTTTGCCACCGCATGAAGTTTTCCCCGATTCTACCTTTGTTTCGGAAAAGAAGATTCCAAAACTGTTGGATTAGGTGTCTAAACCCATAATTATATTTGGTATGTACTTGACCTGGCTATAACATGGTTCTTATGGTTTGTTAATATATTATATGAATAATATATTAAAGGATAAATCATATTGGTTAATTAATATTGGTCAAGAATTAATTAAGGAACTAATTTTATGATCAAAATATATTAATTAAACCTGGGGGATTGATATTGTATGCCACACCCCAAAACCGGAACGGCGGAAACGTTCTGGGGCGGAGGACGTCATGTACAGTATCACAACACAAAATAATATCATCCATTGCATTAATAATGTATTTTAATACCAGATTGTTCTGTATAGGTTACAAGACACCAAAAATATGAATCAAAATAAAATATGAGTCTTGAGATGTGCTACATGTTCTCAAAAGCTGGCATCGGTACCTGTCTATTGATGACCTGAGAATACCAGTTATTTTGAAAGAGTTTATCAGCTTAAAAGCTGGTGAATTCATAAGCATTTTAGTGTCATTGTTTCTATGAAAATGTTTGTAATTGTTTGAATGTATGAGTTTGTAAATGTTTGTAGTAATCCTTTGTATCTCCTATAAAATCCTATATTTTCTACTAAAGTAACCTTCTACCAAGGCATCAAGTGTGTTGTATGTTTGTTCATTGTAAGAGTGAGTATTCCTCCCAAATGTGACTATCATTAATAAAATATAGTTTGTACATTATTGTTTATGTGAAGATCACAAAGTAAATGTAATGAGGAAAATAATGAGTACTTGTAGTTTTTGATGGGTTTTGGTCATAAGAACATCCTATGTGCTCATACAAACTCTAATGCTTGGATCTAGGTTTCTCTATTGTACATGCAAGTTATCCAAGACTACAAACCCTAATTCTAGCATTCAAGTAATCATATTAACATGAGAATAGGTTTAAGATCATATCTTGATTGTTATGTAGCAATAACAATCTCAATTCCTCCTTGTATTGACTTTAGAAAGCTTAGAGTCACAAATGTCAATCCTCTAATGGCTCACAAACCACAAGAGCAAGAGAATGAAAAGGAGAGAGGATAGAGGCTGCCCAAAACCATCTACCAACCCTAGAGAAGTCTTAGCCACGTTTTTGGGTCATAATGGGTCTTTATATAGTAAGGCTATTAGGGTTATCTAACAAGGAAACCCTAAATTGGATGCTTAAACCCTAAGCAACCCATGGAGCCCTTTCCTCAAGGCCTTGGATGATTTCATATGGGCTTCCCCCATAGAATTCGTCCACCTTATAATACAAGGCAATCCATGGCCCAAATTGCAATTATCTTATAATTACATTTCCAGTCCCTTAAGTTTAATTAATCTCTTTTAGTCACAAAACTAATTACCAATTAATTATTGACTAATATTAATTAAACAATATGATTTCTCCTTTAATATATCATTCCCATAATATATTAATAAATCATATTTAATCCTTTCTCTCCATAATTCATCCTATCAAGTTGCTTTGGTGAAGGCAACCCAAAAGGACCATGCACCATCGGGTCAAGTACATACCAAAATAGTTATGGACTTAGACACTAATCCAATAGTCTCCCACTTGGATAAGTATAATAACTTTTCTGCGTATGACTTCAGATCCTGATTTGCAATCGTAGCTTTCCAAAGCCGATGTCAACCCTGATCATATCAGATACGCGTGTCCTTAGATAAGGGATCATATATTCCTCCATTCTAGATATCGTAAGACATGATTTCTAATCATTTTCTTTGTACTATTTCTCGATCTCCGATTTATGACGACTGACTAATTGAACAAATCAAATTAGCCCTAGCCCGCCCGAGCATTTATGTTTGTCACCGCTAAATCATCGAGGGGCCCAAAGATATCGCTTTGATCCTACTTTGGATAAAAGGAACGGATAAACTTTGATACAATACTTGCTTCCACTCACTCACCGAATCACACACAACAATATGTTTTATAACACCAAGTTACTAGTACGTTTTCATATTATCAACGTGCAACCGATTAGCAAGATACAACTCACACATCTCGGTTTCAAGAATATAAGATGTTATCGTATCACCAATCACTCGTGACACAATTCATGGAATGATCCAAGTGAGCGTGGGTTTAATCCAATGCTCAAATTCATATTCATAAGCACTCATGAACGTTGCAGCAAACATTTGCTTATGTCTAATACTCTTTTAGACAATCCACACACCAATTCACGGCAGTCTTCATTCATACATACTTCCAACATATGAACGACTGTGGCCCGTTCGAATAATTTGACTGTTCTTAACAAAAATAAATTATTCAGGAAGTCAAAACATGCAAAGTGAAACACAAGAATAATACTAATCCCATACGGCCTCAAACCTTTGAGTATAAATAAAACTCCTTTTATTTATCACCATATCGATTACTCATTATTTGTCGTTTCGGGTAATCAACTTCTTACTTGAATTATTACACTTGTCCCATGCTCCTAGCATGCACACAATGTTTACCTATGGTTCTTACTTTGTGAAACAAACCAAATTGAGCACATTTCCAATCATTCTCATTTCACAACTCCTAATCCTTTTTCATAAGTGTAAGAATATCAAATTCTTGCTACTTATAGAATATGCTATATTCTAACATTCTATGCAATCATACTTTCGTAATATCACTGCACCAAAGTCACAAAGACTATTGCCAATGATATTACAAAATCTTCTATCGGAGATTGTTACAAGACAATTCCTTAGATATGATGTCTCTCACTAAAAGTACATTCCTTTGAACATCCTTTTTCATAAAAGTTTCTAATCTAGACATAGATTTTCAATATTCAATTCCCAATATGGACACGTTTCCATATTTTCCATATGACAACTTATTCTTAATAGAATCTTATCTATTCGTAATGATGTCGATATGGTCCATCCAATATGGAAATATTTCCATAATTTCCATATAACAACTCATTCTTAATAGAATCTTTTCTATTCATAATAATGTCGATATGGTCCATTCAATACCATGCTTCCAACTACTCATAAGCAACCAATCCTCGTCGAACTTTGGATTGTCCTTTGATAGTTGTTTAATTATTTTAGTCAAAACCGACTCTAGTCCTTTTTCCCTCTAAATGCGCTAGACATTTGGAAAATTTTAGAATGGTCAAATATTAAAGCATTTGCAATCGATCCTATACCCGAAGCGTATGGGACACGACGCATAATGTTTTATTTGCTATGTTCTCAAAATTCGAATTGTGAAAAGGAATGTCGTAATCATAATCGAAATTTTAAGAACACACTATGTACCTTTGACTAAATTTATTAACATTTCTCAACCTAAGCCTTTAGATTTGAAATGAAGCAGAATATTCTCTCCCTTAATTATAGCAAAAAAACTTTACAACCCTTACCACTTTGCAAGGTATAACTCTTGTTTTCTATAATTAATATTGCCAACTTGCAATACGTGCCTTAATAGTCATACAATCATAACATTTATGCTCGCACTTGTTGGTTTTTGAGCAATCTAACACTTCCTAAGTGTGCATGCAACCCTAATAAACCTTGGATCTATGTTTTCTTCTAAAATACATGCAAATAATAACTTCCAAGGTTTCTTCCTAACTAGCATAGCATAAGGATTATGAATCATAAAACTACTAGTAGAAATACATACCTTTTGATGATGGTTGATTGTTTGGAGTTTGAGAGCCAAGCACCAATAGTGTGAATGCCTCAAATGGAATCACAAATCACCACAAACGTTTGGAAAACTTTGAGAGAGTAGTATACTTTCTTGTGGAATCGGCCACCACTAAGTCTCACACAACTAGTGTCTTTCTTGCATCATATGCTTCTTTATATAGTGTGCATGGTTAGGGTGAAACCCTAATAACCCATGTCTTTTCCTTTCCAAGGATCCATGGGTTAAAAGCTCCATGGATCATCCATGGACTTCCATATTAGCTTAGCCCATTAACAAATGAGTATTAGCCCACACTATATAAAATATAATAGCCCATAATTTAATAGTCTTCTTTTTAATCTCTAAATTAATTCATAATTAATTTAAGACTAAAACTAATTAAATAACATGACTTCATATTAATATATTATCACTTATAATATATTAATAAATTGTAAGTATACAATTCTCATAAAATTATCCATAAATCGTTTGGATGAAATGCAACCCAAATGGACCATGCCGGGTCGGGTCAAGTATGTACCAAATAAGTTATGGACTTAGACACCTTATCCAACAGACTCCCACTTGGATAAGTCTAATAACTATATTTGCGTATGTTACTTCAGGAACCAACCAGCAATCGTAGCTCTCGAAAACTCTGTTGAACTATGAAGCGCCATTTTAGATAAGTGATCATATAATCCTCTGTTCTCATGATATCAGCCGGACAAATACATGGAACAACGTCGTACTTATTGTCAGCAGTTTGTTTCCCGATTTTCGATTTGTTTGACAAAGAACTTAATCGAACACATCAATTTAGTTCTGACCGGCCGGTACATAGGTCACAACAAAATCATCGAGGGGCCCAGA